GGGGATAAAGTCTTCCTGCTTCTCTACAAATGTCTACAAACATCCCATAAATAAATCTCACCTTTTCACCTTTCTTCACCAACTTTGATTTCCCAATAGTTGATCTAAATTTATGAGTAAAGTAACTGAGAAAACAGCTCCTAGAAACCAATGTAAAAAATAAGAGTTATTCACATGATACTGAATACATTTTGAGGTAATTAGCACAAGTAGGGGAAAGATGTATATAATATTAAGTTATCAAGGTATGCATGAAGGTATATGGCAGTTGTATCAAGTTTAACCAACGAGTAACAAAAGTCAAATGCTTTCCTGTACTGCCTAAGTGCATACTTTGCGGTTTTCTCATGCTAGCCTTACACATCTTTTCCCAGAAAAACCTTTTGCGCTGTGCACATATTTGCGTTCAGTGATGAGATACTATTTTCATCGCGTGCTATATCGCTCCTGTGTTTGATGTAAACAAAGAAAAGTATTCAAATGTGACGTCAATAATCTTGAATGTGTCAACCTTCGTGACATAGATTATTCCAAATAAGCAAAAAAATTTGAACGAGTGCAGATATGTTTTGGAACAAATCCAGATACAACATCTATTGTTTTTGGTGTAATGTTTTTTGCGTTGTATTACAGGGACAGAACCTTTATTCACAAAATAATCTTTACAATCACATGAGACTGAGATGCCTGGTTAGTTTTAATTTTTTGTGAATTTCACAACAGCACACAAAAAACAATCTTTTTCAAATTCAATTTTTCCAGGCCATGTTGATACACTTAGGTTCCAACAACATTTCATCATTCATCCTAATTACTCACCTACAGAATGCGAGATCATTTGCCTTCAAGGCAACAACTGCAGCATCTTCACATCTCATGCAAGTTTTACCAAAACTAAAAAAAAAAAAAAAACGAAATAGAAGAATTCAGTGTTTTTTGTTACCTTCATGTTCAATATAACATCACACACACAATATTAAAAACAAGTTTTTATCTGAAAGTGTGGCTGAAACAGATGATACAATTATTTAATCTTTAATGTTTACATCATCAAACTTAGGGTGAGATATTTATTTTCTGAAAGCTTTGTTAGGAGCATGATTAGATACGGTTTGAATTTATAATCAGTAATAGAAAATCCACATGAGACTGGTCCATAGTTATATAGGGTCTTGCAATGCTTACAATTATACACTGTGAACAACTTTTTATAATTATATTTTTTATAAAATCTGAAATAAAAACAAATTTCAGGATAGTCAACAGAAGACAGTAAAAAAATTTCCAAAACATGCAATTTTACAAAAGTGATCCTGTATTTTACACAGTAATATCTTAACCACTCAGACGTTCTAAGATTCAACATACTAGTAATTTGCACGTAAAGACATTGTAACAAGTCATTATAACAAGAACTATCTTTTTTTAGCAAAATATCTAAGGATTACTTTCTTGTACTGCTAGCACTTACGAATTCGTCGTCAGTTGCCAAGCCACCTAGAGTTTCTATATGATCAACCCGCTACATAAAAAAAACTATCTCACCTAATTACTGGCGTCGGTAGTGTTTCTGTTCCATCTTGATTTTGACACATGTTTCGACGGTGCTGTAACTTAGGGTTGATCACACTCACACACGTGTGTTGTATCGGCAACCCAGCTGATTATTATGAAACCCGGAAATGGATTGTAAGAGTTGAGCGAATGTTTGTTATTACATTTCTCCAAAATCAAATGAGCGTTGCAAATATTTGTTGTTATAGGAACTAAAAATTCTAGAGGGTATTATTTT